TAGCAGGACCGCACCTCAAGAGATACCTGTTAGCTCAGAATCTCAAGCTTTAGAGAGCTTCCCAAGGCCTTGTGCTTTTTGACACTTACAACATGGCGAAACTAGGTAACAGTGGAGTTGGCATGGTTGGCTGAGGGTTTTTGCTAAGACATGAAGCCCAGATTTTGAAAAAGGAGAATGCTTAGAAAGGCAAGTGGTGTTTTGAGGGCCAAAAACTCTAGTCCTAATTGCTCTCCCCAAATAGAAGGCGTGCTGACAATAAGAAGAAATCTAAATGATGGGGTTGGGTGAGTGCCTGGGAGCGGTCAGCCAGCAGGAGGGTCACGAATGGGAGACATAGTATTCCCTGTGGGGAAGGCAGACGAAAAAAGCTGCCCTCGGAGTGCCAGGGGACGGTTCTTGATTTCTTGGCAGCGGGCAGAAGGGGCTTTCGTGCGGGTAGGAACGGCCTGCCAGTCAACTATATTTACAGAGCACCTGCTGTGCAGAATTTGAAAAGGAGGAGGAGACAGGCCTTGTCCTCAAGAAGCTTGTGATCAAAGAGAGAAGAGAAGTTCCCAAGTACTGTGAACGGTGTCAGATTTGGAATGGGAGAGGATTTGATGACATGGAAGGCTCAGTCTGAGCATTCTTATTCAAAGTGTGGGTCATGGACCCGCAGCATCAGCATCACCAGGGAGCCTGTTAAAAATGCAGAATCTGGAAGCCCACCGCAGACCCCCAGAGTCGGAACCTGCACTGGACCAAATCCCTAGATGATTCGTCTCCCCATAGCAGTTTCAGAAGCACAAGAGGGGCTGTGGAGGTGCTGAGTCTCGAATGTTTTGAGAGAGAAAACCACCTGGCTTGGTAACTAAACTGATAGAAAAAGGCAGTTAATTTACCTGAGAGTCTTTTTTATTTTTTTTTAATATTTATTTATTTGGCCGCACCGGGTCTTAGTTGTGGCATGCAGGATCTTTGGTGTCGCGTGTGGACTCTTAGTTGCGGCATGTGAGATCCAGCTCCCTGACCAGGGATGGAACCCCAGCCCTCTTCCTTGGGAGCCCGGAACCTTAGCCACTGGACCACCAGGGAAGTCCCTACCTGTGAGATTCGTAAATACAAGCATCTCATCTTAGCCACCTTTATAAACCCCACCCTTGTTAAATTCATAATGAGACTCGATGAATTCTGGTCCCTATTCAGTGGGGTACACTGGAAATTGTTGTGAATGAATTATTGTTATAGAGGCAGCTCATGGATTTGGGGAACATGCAGATGATTCTTAGAGGCGTGAGCAAAGCTGGGCATGACAGAGCCTGTCAGAGACAAACATGAGTGAGAGAGATGCATAAACAGTTATTTTAAGGCAAAAGTGGGGAATAGCTCAAGGCCCTGAGACTTACCCACAGTGGTTCATTTTCAGTCTAAGTCATGTGCTGCTTGGCCTTCACCACACCTGGTCCCCCGTCTCTCCAGATTTAGAACAGCTGGAATTCTTTGGCTCAACTGCCTTGAAGTCTATTGAGTGTTCATCTTCTTATACTTTCTGTCCCACCAGGACTGATTGATTGATCAATGTATTTATATTGCCCAAACTCTATAATGCATGTAGAACTCATCAAAATAATAATTATTACCATTTTACAGTAGGAGAGTGAGGGGCCTCCCTCCTCTGTTCATTTCCCAGATGCTTCCTCAGCCCCGACCCCAATTCCAAACATGTTCTAACATGATGCAGCCCACAGACCTAGCAATAAGGCAAATCCCGGCGGGTAGCATGTGAGGAAAGACCTGAGTGTCATTCTCCCAGGTTATGTCACAGTAAAATCATGATCATAATGATAAGAACCATGAAAAGAGAGAGAAAGCACATATGATGTTTACCACATTCCCTGCCCCTGCAGGAACTCCTTCATTCCTGCCAGCAAACCTTGAGATAGGCTTTGCTATTATTTCTATTACATAGATGAGGAAATTGAGGCATATTCCACTCCCCATTCCATAGGGCAACATCCAAATGAGACTCTGTGGCCATGACAATCAGACCGATCGATTCAGCAGGGAAAAATGCAGGAAAATCTCTGAAAAGCCCATCAGCCCACTTCTGCCTCCACAAGGGTGAGCAGCTGAGAAGGAAAATGCAGCCCCAACCTGCAGAGGCCAGGTGCTGACTCTAAGCGACCTGGTTCCACCCTTCATGGGCGGTGGGACCCCACAGGGCCTCAGTTCCCATCTGCAAAGTGGGGATAGTGATAGTACTGACTGCATAGCGTCGTAAGGATTGTAAGAACTAATATACACTAGGTCGTGCATGCAGTGGGTGCCCATACACGGTTGTTATTTATTTATTCCTTCACTGGCTGTCAAATAATGGGGATTCTATGATTTTAAGCAGGAGAAGTTGTGGCTCTGCCTCTTCACCAGGCAGGCAGGCATTTGCCTACTTGTATTTGTCGCAGCTCTCCTGAAAATGTAGCAGCATTAATACCCTATCGTGTTTCTGTAGTTCTGACTGTCTGATACAGTTGGCTGTTAACGATGGATGTTCTGCGGATTTGCTGGAAGTGGAACTAAGCCCTTTAACTTCTCATTTTGGTCTGATTTGTTACACAGAACACTAGGGCTATAGACACCATGGAAATGAAGAATTCACATTCAGGGCACTTTTACAGTTTCCGTGTCCAGCAAGGTTCTCTTTTCTTCATTTGATTAGAATTCACCCTTGGCCTTTTTTTCCCCAAACAGGATTTTAAGCAACCTCAGCTTCCCTTACAAAATGAGCCTTTGTTTCCAAAGATGCTGGGGAAGAATAGCCAATTTGATAGCTCACACACAGACACCAAAGAAACCCTTCGTAATTCTTTTCTATCAATTCATTTTGCATTTAATATGGTTTCAGCAGTGAGAGGAAGTACCAGGGAGACAGGAAAGGAATGAAAGATCTGTGTTTTTGTTTAGTTGGGAGAGACAAGAAACACAAATATATGGAGACAACTGGAAAATACTTTTAAAATAATTAGGAAATAAATAGTGTATCATGAGGTGGCCCAGAATGCCTCCAGGATAAAGGACGGGAACAGAATGGAATAATCAGCTCTGAGAGTCTTAAGAGAAATGTCAAAAAGACAGACCAAGATTGCCAAAGACTAATAATGGTAATAGTTATTGCTGTAAATTATAGAGCTCTATCCTACACGCCAGGAACTGTGCTATGCATTTTACATAGGATTAGCACCCTAAGAGGTCATTTATCTTGTAATCCTTATTTCACAGATGAGGACACCAAGATCGACAGAGATTAAGGAGTTGTTCCCAATTACACAACTTGTAAGGCGTAGTGTCAGGATTTGAACCTAGATCTGTCTGACACAATCACATGTAGAGGAAAAACAGAAGGTCTGTTGGGGAGAAGATCACCACTCTTCTCAGTGGCAGGAAGGTCAGAAGGTGAACAGAGAAACCAACGCTAGAACAGGAGCCACTGGGGTCACTAAGAAGAGGGAGAGGCAGGAGGTGCCTGTCAACAATGGCTTTGACCCTTAACCTGGAGAGTGTGGACCTAACCTAGTAGGTAACAGGGACTCTCTTGGGTAGAATAACAGGATGAAACACAGTGGTGGCATAAGTAAACCTGCAGCTGTGGGAAAAGAGACTGGAAGGCAGAGAAACTTGTCTTAAAGGGAACCAGGAAGATGTCCGTGGACATTGGATGACAATGGCCAAGTCCAAAAGATAGAGTGTCAAAGGAATAGGCTCCTTGCTCTCGGTATTCTGATACCTGTGTGTAGCCCCAGCTCACCCAAAGCCAAGAGCTCAGTATGAGATTTCCATTGCTGCACTCAAATCTCTGAAAATAAAATGCTTTGACAGAGGGTTTTGTCTCCTGGTTGACACTGGCAGGAAAGATCCTTTCATGACGTGGCAAAGAAACGAAAGTGTTTCTGATGTGCCATGTCCGGGACACTTGTGCTATCACCGTATCTTCAAACCACATCACATTGACCACATTATCTTCTGCCTGTCTGTTAGGTGATACATCTTTTCTCCTTTGGTTAGATTCCCCCCCCCATTAGTAAATCGTAAATACTTGTTTATGATCATCTGAGTGAAAATACGGTGATCATGTATTTTTAAACAATAAATTGGAATTTGTACCCAGCACAAAAATTTAGTGATGAAAGAAGACATTGCCGTTTCCTGGCAGCCCTGCATCACTCCTCCCCTGATTGCTGCTGCAGTGCAGGCTACTCCTGCTTCTGTCTCCTCCCAGCCTGCCTAGACTAAAGCGGGGCACTTGGCCTGCGCAGTGACCACTCTCAGGCCAAACTACTTGTTGTGAGGTATTGTCCTCTTTGCTTGGAAAGAGCCACTTGTGGAAAAAATGTGGAAAATCCTAGATCTGGACAAAGATAAAACTCCTGGGATCCCGCAGTGTGTCTATACTACAAAAACGTTTCTTTGTTATTTACTTATCAAACAGAAAATATTTTTAAAAAGATCACCTTCAGGGCTTCCCTGGTGGCACAGTGGTTGAGAGTTTGCCTGCCGATACAGGGGACACGGGTTTGTGCCCCGGTCCGGGAGGATCCCACATGCCGCGGAGCGGCTGGGCCCGTGAGCCATGGCCACTGAGCCTGCACGTCCAGAGCCTGTGCTCCGCGGCGGGAGAGGCCACAATGGTGAGAGGTCCGCGTACCACCAAAAAAAAAAAAAAAAAAAGATCACCTTGAATAACTGCCTCTTCCTGCCCTGGAGTAGTAGCAGCTGGCTCACATACCCATCACTAAGTCCCTGTTCTGGGCATCCATGGGGATTCAGCAGCGGAACTTCTATGCCCGTTGGTCATAGGATATGCCTTTAGCTACTTGGACATAGTATATTCTTTAAAAAAAGTTTCTTTAACAGACTTTACCACCAGACTGCTCTATAATCCTGGATATCCAAAGCCTAGGATAAAAACCTCAAAACCAGAGCTATGAAACCTTTGCATAAGTGTAGGCGAAAATCTGCTCCAGGCATACAAACTTCCAGAAATGACTGTGACTGTGAAGGGAGTTGATTCTGTTTCACAGAACAGCATAGTGGTTCTGAACAGTGATTTGCTTTGTAATAAAAGGAAACGCTGCAAAGCCAGAGGACTTTGGTCTCATCGTCATTCAGAAAGTATGTCTCATGAGGGCAGGATGGTGTCAGAGATGCTGCACTGTCCTTGCACTCTGGGGAAAGTGGGGTCTCATTTACAGAGCACCTTAGGCTCTAAGGGACGTGCTTGGTACTCACTGTGTCTCATTTCGTCCTCACAGCAACCCTATGCATATGAGATAGGTGTTGTGTCCATTTTTCCAGAGAAGGGAAACAGGCTCAATGTATTAAATGCCCCGCCTGCTGCCGGAGGGGATAACTAAGTGGAAGGACGTCTGCACGCCCATTTTACCTGCGCTCTGTCCGTCACTAAACTCTGCCCCTCCTGGAAGTCCACATATCTTCAAACCACATTTAGATCCTCACCTCACACCATACACCAAAAGGCAGCGTGTCTTGAGTTGATGCTTTTCTTCTCGTCAGTCCAGAGAAGATGGCTGCCTGGAGATGAACAGAGCCTGGGGCTGTGGAAAATATCTTTTCTCAGGATAAATGAGACTAACACTTCCATTACTCTTTACATTTCCAGAAAATGAAGTGCTGGCCCCAGCACCAGCTCCACCCCGGGAAGGTGAGTAAAAACATGGCCTTATATGTTTGGGCCGCAAATACGGAACATCCATCCCAGCACGAGTTGGCCTCCATTGAGGCTGTGAACTTTAACCCAACTCCCATGGAGAAGTTGGATGACCACAGTTCTTATAGGTTTGTAATAATAACCATACCTTGTGTTTATATAACTTTCTTATGTTAATCTGACTTGGATGGCACGTCATATACTTATAAGACCTTTGAAGTTATGCCAAAGTTGTTGTTACGCCCATGCTTTAGCATTGTGGAGGCTGAGTCTCCAAGGGGCTGAAGGATTCACGGTGATTTTTCATACATAACTAAAGGCAAACAAAGCCCACATCTTTCTTGTGAGAGTGAGGTGATCCTACCTCAGTCCTGGAAGATGAGCGGCCCTTTCCTTACTTGAACTATGTCACCATCAAGTACCTCCTAGGGGAGTTTCCAGGAAGGTTTGGTGGCCTCCAAGGCTGAACATCAGCGACAACTTCTCCAGTCCTTGTACCCTGTTGTCCAGCAGGGGGCAACAGAAAAGCAAGCAATAAAGAGTTCCAGTGAACTCCTTGGCAGGTAGAGGTAGTGCCCAGCAACACGACAGGTAAAGCCTGCTTTTATATCCACCAACACCTAAGGAAGAGAACAGGATTAGAAGAATGGCAAGCCCAGGACTTCCCTGGTGGTGCAGTGGTTAAGAATCTGCCTGCCAATGCAGGGGACACCGGTTTGAGCCCTGGTCCAGGAAGATCCCACATGCCGCAGAGCAACTAAGCCCGTGCGCCACAACTACTGAGCCCGCATGCCACAACTACTGAGCCCGCGTGCCACAAATACTGAAGCCCATGTGCTCTAGGGTCCATGTGCCACAACTACTGAGCCCGTGTGATGCACCTGCTGAAGCCTGCATGCCTAGAGCCTGTGCTCCACAACAAGAGAAGCCACCGCAATGAGAAGCCCACGCACTGCAACAAAGAGCAGCCCCTGCTCGCCGCAACTAGTGAAAGCCTGCATGCAGCAATGAAGACCCAATGCAGCCAGAAATTTAAAAAAAGAATGGCAAGCCCAAGTGGAATCTCCAGAACCATTTGTCTGCTCAGCCCCCCGGGTGGGGGCAACCAAAATTACATGCATTTTCCACGAAGGCACCAAAGTGCTCTCTCTCGTCACTCTTCCTCCTAAACAAGATGAGAAACTGGCATCCATTCAAGTATTATTCACAGGGTATTTACCATGTGTACACCTCTACTCTAACCCTTCAGAAGGATACAGAGCTACCTATCAGATACTTATTGATAGCTAGATGCAAACGTACTCTACCAGATGTAGTCGAGGAATTCTAAGTAGGAAATATTTCCCTGTATTCAGTTTGCTTACAACCCAGTAGGAAATGAAATACAGCACAGAGAACAATTAAGTAAGATACAAACACAATATTGAAACATCAGACACCGCCGTAAGAACCTCACAAGGCGGTATGTGACTTAATGCAGGTTAGTTGAATTGACAATGTGGTGTGAAGCCAAGGGCTAGGAGGTCACCATAGACCAGTCCAGCCTGGGTGAAAACAGGAATTGAATAAGGCTTCAGTTGCTGGTATTTTTGCATGGAAATTTATAAGAGGATATGACGCTCTTCTGCTTTAGAGATTATTTTCGGGAGGGCAGTTTGAGAAATCTAACTGCTCAGAGGAATCCCCTCCGTCCAGCTAAGAATACTAGATTCACACACTCAAAATCCTTCCATAGTAAAGAAGAGTACTGCTGTGTGTTAAAATAAATGAAACAGGCTCAGTGCCAGGTTCATTCAAACAGGGACAAGTTCCAGTTTGGTTTTCTTTCAAACCCATGTAAGATGTGTGACATTCTTCTTAGGAACTTCTTTGGTGTGTTTTCTCCTTGCCCATACAGATTTATTTTTTGCCAGCACTGAGGTCACTGAGACCCTGCAGGCCATTACTGACATAACCTTTCCCTTCTGCTCTTCAGAGCAGCAGCTGTCATTGGGCCACTATAAAGTTTCCCTTGTTACGCCACGTTTCATATTCATTATACAATACTGACCTCCTGTCCCTAAAACAAGTCTTCTTCCAAAGTCTGCTAAAATTATCCATATTAATTCATTAAGATTCAGATGTCAGGGTTTCCCTGGTGGCGCAGTGGTTAAGAATCTGCCTGCCAATGCAGGGCACACGGGTTCGAGCCCCGGTCCGGGAAGATCCCACATGCCGCGGAGCAACTAAGCCCGTGCGCCACAACTGCTGAGCCTGCACTCTAGAGCTAGTGAGCCACAACTACTGAGGCCCGTGCACCTAGAGCCCACGCACCGCAACAAGAGAAGCCACCGCAATGAGAAGCCTGCGCACCCAAAGAAAAGTAGCCCCCACTCACCGCAACTAGAGAAAAGCCCGTGTGCAGCAATGAAGACCCAACGCAGCCAAAAATAAAAAAATAAATAAATGAAAAAAAAAGAATGAGTTAAAAAAAAAAGAAGTTGTCCCTTGTTGGGATCTAAAATGAAGTGATCTATATTTTATACTATTTCCATACCAGCATGTTATAATAGGTTCCCAGCATAGCTAAGCTATTTTAACAAAATCTGTTACGTGTTTCCATGTATACTTTTCCCCAAAATGATCAGATTTGTTAACTACTTTTATTAAGTTTAACGTGACTCTACATTATAATTCCCCAATTTGTAATTCACGTGTAGCATAATAAAGGAGGATATAGCATCATTTGTGCTCTGTTCTGTTATTAATTTCCTCTCTCCCCACCTCCACCCTGTTGCTCATCACACAATAAAATGCTTTCTTTAAGATACTTTTAAAAATGTGTTTGTACTTTCCACACAGAACCAAATAAAGAGAAGCAGGCCGGAACTTCACCAGCAAAAGGTGAGTTGGAGGGAGGGAAAGTGAGGCTGAATTCACCAAAGTTAGAAGCAGAAAGAGCTCAGTAATGATTGCCATGGAGGCCCCATAGAATTCCTCTGCATTATCTTTCATCAGTGTGTATTAGGGTTCTTCCTTTGCATCTTATCTGCATAACCCAATCAGCATAATGACGAATGGTGCTTTGATCAGTTTTCATTACATTTTTAAAAGAAAAACAACAATGATAAAAATAGCACAAGCAGTTGTTGAGATGCCAGCAAATTTATTTGTAGTTTCCAAGTTCCCATGTGCATGTGAAGGAAAAGAGGTGTCTGGTCTTCTTGGGATTACACCAATTTGGAAAATTATCTTAATTACCCAGATTTTTTTTAATTTAATGTTTTCATGTTACTGTGTAAACAGTTCCAGGTTTCACTAGTAATTTTGAAAACTAGCATCTCATTTTGTAACATTTGTGTTCATGGAGATTTATATAATGATTTATATAGAGGGACAATATAATCTTAAGCAAACGTCACGTTATTCCTTATTGAATTGGAAACATTTGTCCTGTTATTCTATTTTGACTTTATATGGAGGTAGTCCAGTTTTAGAAAATGAATAACCTTTATCATACACTTTTTCATGGATCCATGAAATACTAATTCCTTTGTCTCCCCATGGAGGAAGTCATTGTCACTACTGACCATTTGTCTTAAGTAAAGGAGCATTAGTCTTCTATAGAAGAAAGTTTTCACAGAGGTAGACCTGACAATTTTGCTTTGTATGTTTGTATCATCATTTAAAAAATTTATTTTTTATTTGTGCACTGAGTAACATAGTTTAGATTCTGGAATAACCCATTATTTCTTGACTACAATAAGACCTTTCTCTTTTTTTCTGGACACCACTCAAAAGCATGTTAAGTATCTCTTTGTTCTTACTATGTCATATTTCATTAATTCCTATGATATTTTTGTCTTCTATATATTAGTAAAATACTTTTTTTTTTCAGTACATTGGACCACTTTTCCTCAGCTAACTTGAATTTACAACTCTTATAAATGAACACATAGTGTTAGTGTACTTACTTTGTCCTTGACCTTCAGTGGCTCCGTGAATAGTAACATGAATGCTAATCCTGGCCACATGGGCCACAGTCTGAAGGTTATTTGCATGTGGAATGCAAACAGTGCAAACTCCTAGAACTCCTTCCACGAGATGGGTTCAAGGAGGTTTGGACATCCTGGCTGAACTTATTACAACATTCTCCTTTACAAGGCTGATGGCATACACCTCTGTTTCCAAATTTGGAAAGGTGCTTGGACCAGGCTGTAAGGCCTAACCAACAGAGCAGATGATGTAATCCCAGAAGGCAAACTGTCAAAAGTTTAAACAAAGCCTGCGCCTGACCCTTAATCTGAAAATCATATTATATTTGTATGCTTAAATGCGAAAATGGCTTTCTGTAAGTTAAAATCAACCAACCAACCAATCTACCAATCAACAAAAACCCTTTTCCTTACACAGAACACGATATGATGAAAGAGCAAGGTCAGATGACCAAGAAAGTCATCCTGAAATTGGTAGCATTTTTTTCCTGACATTTGCAGAAGTGAAACAAGGTCATGGCCACATGCAGTCATGTGCCCAGGTACATAAACTGCCACGTATGTATTTGCTCTACATGCCTAGAAAGCAAATCAATTTAGGATAGAAAGTGACATCCCTAAATAAAGAAGGTAGGTGGTGGAAGTTATTTCTAAATATACAATCCCCTTCAACCATTACTTACTTTCATCAAGGACAGGGAAGTTTCAAAGAAAATACCCGAGTGAAAAGTAGACACACTCGTCATTGCTATTATGAATAGCCCTGGTTGAGAAAGAATCCTTGCATCAGCATAAACAAGATTGACAGGTGCAACAGAGCTGCCCTCCAGCTTACACTAGAATCCCTGTCCTCCACCCTCCCCCAACCCTCAGTCTATCTAATTGTGTGTTTTTTTGAAAGAAAATTAATGTATTAAAAAAAAAAGAAGAAGAAGAAGAAAGAAAGAAAAATGAAATTTACAGAACCATTCAAGTCAAGTGTCACTCTTTTGTGCATCTTTCCCCTGAGCATCCTAACGCACTTTCACTTCCCTTTCTTCCTCCTGCTTTTTCTTGGACTGATTGCTTCTGTCATAAAATCACCCTTTCCTTCACTTAATCCCATATTAATGTTTCACTCCTTTTCCTAACATGTTGTAAGCTTTGTGAGGGTCAGGCACTGTGTCTTAACACTCTTTGGGCTCCTTATCTCATTTCTTCCAGCAGCTGGCAGAGAGCTGCATATGGTGATCTCCTAATAAATACCTGTAGAATGAATGATCAATTGAATTTCCATACTGGCTTAGCTGCTCATCGTACAGACAGTGGTAATCTAGATAGATTTTCATTTCCATTTGCTGGGCAGGAGGGTGAACATCCCATGCATACTCTTAGTCAATAAGGTTTGGAATGGGATGCCAGTGCTGTATATTGTAAGATCAGCTCACTTAATGCTATTGAAAATGGTCACGGCTGGATAGAACATTTTCAGCACTTTAGTTAGTGCCCTATCGAATTAGTTGACATATATTCAATTAATAGCTCCAAGACTCTCACTTTTAAGAACATCATTCATAGCCATGCAGCCTCAGTATCTTTCCCAGATTGACTGAATCATTCTGTGACAGGCTGGAAATGTTCTGAAAATTTTTTTGTAGCCGCAGAATGTTGTTTGGTTCTGATATCAATCTTACACGTAGTGTTTGTGGTTAGATTTGCCAACTTTTGACATTTACTGAGAGTTTCTGGTAAACAGCTGATTTCTCAGGAAGGGGTTTATTATTTGCTTGTTTGCCTCTGGACTTGTCCATCCAGGTATCCTGTTCTCTAATACTGCCCACTTTGTCTTGGAGTTGAAATGACAGAGATGACAATAAAGAAATGGGTTTAACCAAACAGCAACATGAGAATTTAGATATGCAAATCCCTTTCAGAGTGATCATACTGAGAGATAATGTCCTTGAAAAAATAATACTGCTGTGGCTTAGAATTCTTCCAGAATAATCACAGGTGGCAATTCAATGGAAAGCTAAGTATAGAGAATTTTCTATACCCTCAATGGAGCCAAAGATCTGCCTTCTATTCTAATGTTCATTTATTCATCTCAAGTATTCACTGAGTGTTGGCTAAATGCCAGGGGCAGGTCTGGGTGCTGGGTCCTGCCCTCCTAGAGCCAACTTTAGGGGACTTTAGAGTGGAGAACAACTATCAGCAGAGGACAGTGCATTTCAGCTTTGGAAGCAGACAGTTGTCATGGAGGGCCATGGGTGGAGAATAATGTGGGTGCTCAAGTGGGATCATACCTTTTTTCTTGATCAACCAACACCATATGTGTGAACACAGGATAATGAGACTGAGTCTCTTCTATGCCTTAACAATTAGCCCTGTGGGATGTTTCAAAACTGGTCCTACTAGTGGTTCCCTGTGAACTAGCGGCATTAGAATCAGAGAATACTTTGAAGATCAGCGCTCATTTTAATGCCTAAATTCTAATACATAAATTTTGATTTTTATTTTATTTTTTACTTATTTTTAAAGATGACTTTTTTTTAATTAATTAATTTTTTTATTTTTGGTCGCGTTGTGTCTTTGTTGCTGCGTGTGGGCTTTCTCTAGTTGCGGCAAGCGGGGGCTTCTCTTGTTGGGGAGCACCGGCTCTAGGCGCGCAGGCTCAGTAGTTGTGGCTTGGCGGGCTCTAGAGCGCAGGCTCTGTAGTTGTGGTGCGTGGGCTTAGTTGCTCCATGGCATGTGGATCTTCCGGGACCAGGGCTCGAACCCGTGTCCCCTGCACTGGCAGGCGGATTCTTCACCACTGTGCCACGCAGGGAAGTCCCAATTTTTGATTTTTAATTTTGTAATTTATCAGTTTATAGTCGGTATATTTTTGGGTAAGCCCAATTGGGATAGTTACTGCCTCTTTTTATTTTCCTTCCAGAAAAATTACTGCCCTTGGTAATTGTTGCAATGGAAGTAAAAACTTACTTTCTTTTCCCAGGCATCATCACTAACATTGCCACAAACTATCATGAATGAACCCTGTGTGTATTAACGATCTCATAATTTGAGATGAAGATTCTTTTGGCATGAATGTGGTTGTCAGATGAGGAAGTGAATCAGCAGAAGTTCCAGCGAACTTCTCCTACATGCTATGATTTTTTTTAATTAAAAGAATGGTTAAGGTTTTTCTTCATTTAGGTCCCTTTACACCTGCAGTATCTTTATCTTGGTGCTCCTTAATAGCACGCTAAAATATTTTTGTGCCATTTTACCTTTAGGTATCAGACAATCAACCATCTACTAAAATGTCTCTGCTTTACCTGTGTATTCCAACTACATGATTTCTTTGTAATGAACTTTGTTACAAATTAATATCACTGTACTTCACGATTTTAAAACACAACGATTATAAAATACAACATTGATTTAATAGATTTGGGGGAGAAAAAAACTCATTAAATAAACGTATTTATGGTAAGATGAATCCTGATTTCAGAAGCACCAAAGCATGGAGACATGTGTCTTCTCATTCAGAAAATATGATAAATTAATCAAATGCCTCACAACATGTTGAATTAATGTTAGCTGTTTTTGTTATTGCCTTCTATATGTGGTTGTTTTTGTTGCTGTTATTATTTTGGTAACATATGCCAATACTTACTACAACTGATTACTCTGCTTGAGGAATTCATAAATTTGTCTACATCAAACAAGGTATTGTATCAGTATTTAACTGAGGTGTGTTCACAGTACATTTTAATTTTATATGCTTTTATTCTAAAATCTCAACAATTGTCCCAAGTACGTATACTTTAAAAATTGATTTAAAAAGGCGATTTAAGTCAGCCATAGGTAGAAGTTATTTTATGCCCAAGAGAACTTGGAGATTTATAGGAATGTATACGTTCCACTGTCTCTGGCGTTCTCTCCCTCACATTCCAGATTTCCTTCTGTGGACCCCCCAAAAATTCCAGGCTTGTAATATGAGACCAAGTTCTTTCCCTACTTTCCAGGTGTTCTTCATTGGGAACTTCTGTGTTGAAAGAATCATTTTTATGGTTTTATAAATGCTATTTTCCCATGACTTAAAGACACATTTTGGTAAATTTCCCTTCTACATAGCTAGGGAAGATAAGTCTGTCGCTTTCGGTCCGTGGTGTCATGTAGGCCGTATTCTAAAGAGCCAAAAATAGATGTTTAAGTTTTCATCATCACTGTAGTCACTTTTAAATAGAAAACAAGAAAATATGACATATATTTTATTTTTTGTTTGAAAATGTTCTTTGTATGATGCCATGCCTTTCATATATGTGATGTTGGATCAGGCATAACCCAGAAGGTTTGGATATTCAGTTTCCCTCCTAGCAGTAGAACCTGTTTTTCTATGGTAAATAAGAACAATTAAACCTCTCATTCTTAACCAACGCAACCAAATTCAACCAGACAACTTTTCAGGTATTTGGGGTCAGAATCCCAACATCTTAGTTATATTTCCCAATCTAAGGGGATGCCAGGACCAAAACTACTTTTATTTATGTATTTATTTAAATATCAACATTTTGTTTTATTTCTATTTATTTTTAAAATTTGTATTTATTTATTTATTTGGGGCGTACTATGCGGCTTGCAGGATCTCAGTTCCCGGACCAGGGATTGAACCCAGGCCACTGCAGTGAAAGCCCAGAATCCTAACCACTAGGCCACCAGGAAACTTCCCAAAACTACATTTAAAAGAACAGAAACAATAAATGTTGCCCCTCGTCAACTGTATTTTTCTAGCACTTCAGTAAATTTGAAAATGCATGTACAATGACTCAAATATTGCCCACTGAGAAGTAATTACTGTTTGGAAATAATGTTGGATCATCTAGAGTATCTTTTATGATACTTTGAAGCACTGCTTTCATATGTGTTGTCTTAATAGTCTAAAATAGTTGTGTGTGTCCCCCACATAGTCTTAACATTTAGTGGACTTTGAAACTACTCACCCATCAAATGTTTGCTTAAAAAATGGCTTCTCTTTTCACTTTAGTTTTATGAACGTGTGTGAACACTCTTTTCCCAGTCATTTTGCATTCTAAACAATTAACTCAAGGGTTTATTAGGCACTGTGCACAAAGCAAACAACCACCAAACCTGTATAAAATGAAGTGCTCATCTGACTAAAAATGGTTCTAGTTTCTAGTTTCTATATAACAAAGGAAGCTCCTTTCTAGGATGTGGTTGAGTTTTAAAACTTCATTTTCAAGAATTTTTACAGGACTTTAGATCAAGATTCTTTACATAGTTTAGTAAATAAAGGCCTTCAAATAGGTGTCAAGAATAAAATACTACATACTGAGTTAAATGTACGGCAAATAAAATAGAAAAATTGCAAGGTATTTTATTTTTGGTTATGTAAAATTTTAATTGTTTAGCAGTCTTCTGAAATACAGAATTCCCCTAAGAGCTCAGAAATACCTATACTTCCCCAAATGCAAGATTTTGTGGAAAGCTAATGGACATTCCAGGAGAAAAGGATTCAAATGTGAACTAAGTTTGGGAAATGTTAATAGTGTATCATTTCTTATCTCCATCCCCAGTGCCAACACACATGAGCACACTGATGGCTTTGAGATATCCTTCGGTAAAAGCCCACAAACAATACAATAAAACACAAGCATTTAACTTTATTTAGCCTAGCGTTTTGCAAGCTTCTTTGACCACAGAAAGCTTCCTCTGAAGAATCCCGAATCCCACAGTATCCAGTGAATCGCCTCTTGGGTTCTGAAGATATGACATTAAGGTTCTCTATATATTACATTAGTTATTTTGTTAAAAAGTAACAAAACATATCTCTGGTTGACAGTTTAAGAAATTTCAGACTAGTAAATAACATATGTTGTAAATATACTAATAGGTTATGCCTGTGCCCTTTTACCTCTTGTCAGAAATTTTTAAAACACTTTTTAATTAACAGTCATGTGCATTTGTTTTCTGTATCCTATTTTATATAGTCATTTAAGTTCACATTTTGAAACCCGTAATTATTCTAATATTTTAAATACAAAGATTATTATTATTTACACTAACACTAGTCTTCATGCTTTGAGAGGGAAGAGGCAGAGGTTCAGATAACACCAAATACCTATTTAAGCATCTACAATGTAAGACACTTTGAAATTTAGACATTTTAGAAAAGGGAATATTCAGTGTCTTTGCACAAACACTACAAGGCATCTTTTGAATTTTACAAATGGGTAAATATTTTACACATATATAAAATATTTGTAAATATTTTACAAATTGGTAAATGTTTTTCAAATTATATTGGCCAACACCAATATAATCTTGGGAAAAAACAGATAAAGTCCCTGTAATAATTATTGGTGAACTTAGTAAGTATGACAAATTGATTTATACTAGTTAATGTTGACTTTTGTTACCTAAATATAGAAGGGGAATTAATTATAAGGTTTTCTGGGGGTATTGAGTTTTCAAATTATATAAAAACATATGCTTTCATGTCTGTGTCCAAATGAATGTGGTATATGAATTATGCTGTCAGTGACTTTGGCTACAAAATAAGAACTCGAAAACCACCTCCATTGCTGATGTCATCAGGGTTAGATTTTTAGCATTAATTTTTTTCCTAGCTTACAATTATATAAAACGTTTGCATAGAGTACCATTTTTAAAGCTACTTTCATTGGGATTACCCAACTCTCTCATCCTTTTATTTGTTTATTTTTCTCTTTTGCCTTAAATCCTGAAGTCTAGTCTTTCAGGTGGAAAGTCTTCTAAGGCTTAGTCATCAGTTAAGTGTTTTGTGTAGTTTCTCTTCTTCTTTTGCAGATTTCTCTTTTCTCAGGATACTCGGGATGAAGGTCTTTTCTCCTTAATTTTTTATTCCTCTTTCTTATTTCAGATGAAGAGGAAGCCTCCCCGCCTGGTGCCCTGCCTCCAGGTTAGGATGATTCCAACCCCTTTCCCCACTTTGTAATTTATTACTAATTGACAGTAAAGATAATGAACCGACAGGGCACCTTGATGAGACAACGCTCAGAGCAGGGGACTCAGGTCTTGCCGAAGAGGGAAAATGTTGGCTTTAATGGCAATTTCTTTTTTTTAACGTGAGAAACTTTTTAAAAAGAGGCTTTCTTTGTGTCTTTATTCCTGTCCTGCCCCTAGGTTCTTTGTGAAATAAATAAAAGTAGTAAATCTTGGGTATAAATTTTAGGGGCAAAAATGTCTTTCATTTCTGGCTATATACTCTTTTCCCCTGTTCTTTAGATATTTGGATTTTTTAAAATTTTATTATTATTTTTTAAATAAAACACATACTTTTTATACACGTTTTCAAAATTAAAGCCCTACTGATTTTCCATCCAAGCCAACTTCTAGCTTTTTTTCTCCCCATCATGAAAAGAGACAGGATTTGGGGGATCCGAGAAGGTTGAAGTCAGCACTCCATTTTCTCCTCCTACCCCTTGTATCATCCAAATCACGCTTTCCTTTCAGGTTCGGGTAGTCGGGCCCTGGAAAGAAAAGATTCAGGTGAGCACACGCCAGAAGCAAGGCGTCCCGACCCCATCCTAGTATAGTAATCACTAATGACCTCATTTCTTGAAGCTGTATTTGATTCTAATCTTGGTTTTATTCAGTTTGTAGCTTTTATAGCAATCTCTTATTACATTCCTCTGACTAGAAAACTAATGCATTGAGAAACAATTAGTTTTGCATGACACACACACACACACACACACACACACACACACACACACACACAAATTCAGGAATCTAGTCACGTATACCACAGGTTCATTTGTTTCATTATCACTATCATTTTTAACATTTGGCAAATACACAGAGATGAAGAGACTTTTAAAATCGCCATTCCTGGGATGTATCAACGTTAGATAATAATTCATATTTTTATGGAAATTTACATACAGTTGAAAGAACACCTCCAAATTCTGCATGGAGCCACAATTCTGGATGGTTATTTATTTATTCGTTCCTTTGTTCATTCAACAAATTTGTTTGAGGGCCTACTATTATCCTGCTATGGGAGTCTTACGGGCCAGGCATTTTTGCAGACGCAGATATAGAAATGAACAAAACAAAAAAAAATCCTTATCCTCTTGTTCCAAACATTAATGGCCACTATTTGCTATTACTATGAATATTACAATTACACACAACATAAAATTTTCACATCAATTTGGGTAATTTTTTAAATTGTGTAATCATGTGACTACATTGCCTAACTTCATTGTGAAAATGATGGCCTATGAATAGGAATACTAAGCATGATTGATACACGGGAACTAGAATAACTAAATCTGCATTTCCTCCTTTTCAAGGAATATTAACAGGTTGAGAGTTGGCAACCCACGCATTTTTCTTCCAGTTATTAAGTGGCTAAAACGGAACTTCTCTTCATTCAGTTCTCAGAGACAGGGGAACTTTCTACCGTTCTCTCTCCTACCCTCTTCATTGGAGTTGACTGCTGATTAATACCTTCTAAGCACCTGGAGTGAAAACTAGAAAATGCAAAATAAACTTCATTTTCAGCTTGTCTGTCTTCATGGGAAAGCCTCAAAGAGTTTATTTTTCTTTCTGTTTTTCTAGCTTTTTTCTTCCCTTTCAAGACGCTCCTAGAATTCTTGAAATCTGTGCCTGCAGGTCATGCTCTGTTACTTGTCAAACTATGGCCACATCTATACAACCCAAATAGAATTATCTAGTCATACAACAGTGAGACATCTAGAAATTCAAGGCCAGGCTTGTTTGTCTGACCTTTCCCACTTGAACTGCAAACTGATCCATCCCTTTAGTCTTTTCCAACTCAGATGTTGTATAGACATGACGTTATAGCCAGTCACCTGGAAAAACAATGAGAATACTGCTTTCATAGCTGCCCACCATTATTTATCAGGGGACAGGCAGATTTGGGAAACAAAGGAAACTTGTCTGCTAGGAAAGAGTAACAACCTTCCTGAAAAGTTTTGCTATTTCTAGGAATTAGAAAATGTTCCTTGATCCCATCGTGGAAGAGATATCCCTGTAAGAATGGGAATCTGTCACTCTCTACTGATGGCTGTCGGGTAGGTGGATAGAAAGAAAGATGTTATATTTATCCAGGTTAATTAGACAAAGAGAAGCTTCAGCATTGACAAGAACAACAAACCCAGGTAAGTCTGCCCAAGAAGAACCTGGCCCTGGAATGATCCTTTTCCTCCTTTCTGCTCATTAGAATGGTCTGTTGGCGAATCGCCATCAGGGGAGGACCAGGATAAGCAGACTGCCAACAATCAGCTGTCCACCCTGTTCGTGGAAAAGCCTCAAGGTGGAACAGTGAAAGTTGGTGAGTGCCAAGCATTAAATCCTGTTCTTTTTTTTTTTAAATAAACATGAAATTCACATAATATAAAATTAACCGTTTCAAAGTGAATAATCAGTAGCTATTAGTACACTCAATGTAGTGCAACCAAGTTCCCAAATATGTTCATCACCCCAAAAAGAAACCTTGTATCCCATTGAGAGTTATCCCTCATTCTCCCTCTAACCCCTGGCAACCACTAATCTGCTCTGTCTCTAAGAATTTCCCTATTCTGGATATTTAATATAAATGGAATCACACAATAATATATGACCTTTTATGTCTGGCTTCTTTCACTTAGCATAATGTTTTCACGGTCTATCCAAGTTGTGGCATGAATCAGTACTTCATTCCTTTTCATGGCTGAAAAATATTCTATTGTATTATGTACTAAACCCTGCTTTTTATAACCTGAAAAAGTGAGTGACAGCTTTCATTTCAGTAACCCGTACACGTAGTAGTTGAGTGGCGGGACCCTGGAGACAGGGTAGGTTCAAATCAGTTTTCTCATCTGTAAAATGGGAATAATACTACTTGTGAAGTACTTTGAACAGTACCTGGTATATCTTAAAGCTCAGAACCAGTGTTTGCTGCCATTTCAACACACCTCGTTCCATAAGATGATTATAAATCTGCAGACATGCTGGATCATTACATTTAGTATCTCAGAGAAAGCTGGTCAGACAGATGGCTCAACTTTGGATATATTCATTCAAAACATATCGATTACACACTTCCTGTTTTAGACACTGTGCTGAACACTGAGTAAAATATGTGATCACTCAGAATTTACAGTATTAATGGGAGGAACAAACAAGAAGAAATTTTAAAAAACAGAACATCACAAAAGCCATCACAAGTGCCATGAAGGAAATAAACAAGGTGGTAAGCCAGAGAATGACCAGGGGGTCCAGGAATTTTAACTAAATGAATTTTTGTAAGGAAAATATTGTAATCAGAACTAGTCTTTGACACCAAATATGCAAATGAACACACAGCTGACTACAGTCTGAAAATTACGTCTTTCAGGTGTAGAATGTAGAAGCACACTGCATGTGAATGAAACTTTTTGCTCCCCTCATGTTTCTGCAAAACACCAAAATGCTAGGAGGGCGACTGGGCTAGAATTTTGGTGTCCTTTGAGTCTAATGAGTCAATACAAACAGGAGTGCTGAAAAAATAAACTCAAAAAGATGGCGGAGTAGAAGGACCTGCTCTCACTCCCTCTTGCAAGAACACCAGAATCACAACTAGCTATTGGACAGTCATCGAAAGGAAGACACTGGAACTCACCAAAAAAGATACCCCACATGCAAAGACAAAGGAGAAGCCACAATGAGACAGTAGAAGGGGTAAAATCACAGTAAAATCAAATCCCATAACTGCTGGGTGGATGATTCACAGATTGGAGAACACGTATACCACAGAAATCCACCCAATGGAGTGAAGGTTCTGAGCCCCACGTCAGGCTTCCCAACCTGGGGGTCTGGCAACGGGAGGAAGAATTCCTAGAGAATCAGACTTTGAAGCCTAGTGGGAATTGATTGCAGGACTTTGACAGGACTGGGGGAAACAGAGACTCTGATCTTGGAGGGCACACACAAAGTAGTGTGCACATCGGGACCCAGGGGAAGGAGCAGTGACCCCAGGGGAGACAGAAACAGACCTACCAGCTAGTGTTGGAGGGTCTCCTGCAGAGGTGGGGAGGTGGCTGTGGCTCACCGTGGGGACAAGGACACTGACAGCAGAAGTTCTTGGAAGTACTACTTGGCATGTGCCCTCCCGGAATCTGTCATTAGCCCCATCAAAGAGCCCCTGTAGACTCCAGTGTTGGGTTGCCTCAGGCCAAGCAACCAACAGGGAGGGAACCAAGCCCCACCCATCAACAGTCAAGTGGATTAAAGTTTTACTGAGCTCTGCCCACCAGAGCAACAGTCAGCTCCACCCACCACCAGTCCCTCCCATTAAGCCTCTTAGATAGCCTCATTCACCAGAGGGCAGAGACCAGAAGCAAGAAGAACTATAATCCTGCAGCCTGAGGAACAAAACCCACATTCACAGTAAGATAGACAAGATGAAAAGGCAGAGGGCTATGTACCAGATGAAGGAACAAGATACAACCCCAGAAAAACAACTAAATGAAGTGGAGATAGGCAACCTTCCAGAAAAAGAATTCAGAATAATGACAGTGAAGATGATCCAGCACCTCGGAAAAAGAAGAGGCAAAGATCGAGAAGATGCAAGAAATGTTTAACAAAGACCTAGAAGAATTAAAGAACAAACAAACAGAGATGAACAATACAATAACTGAAGTGAAAACTACCCTAGAAGGAATCAATAGCAGAATAACTGGGGCAGAAGAACGGAGAAGTGACCTGGAAGACAGAAAGGTGGAATTCATTGCTGTGGAACAGAATAAAGAAAAAAGAATGAAAAGGAATGAAGACAGCCTAAGAGACCTCTGGAACAACATTAAATGCAACATTCGCATTATAGGGATCCCAGAAGGAGAAGAGAGAGAGAAAGGACCCAAGAAAATATCTGAAGAGATTATAGTCGAAAACTTCCCTATCATGGGAAAGGAAATAGCCACCCAAGTCCAGGAAGCACAGCGAGTCCCATACAGTATAAACACAAGGAGAAATACGCCAAGACACATAGTAATCAAATTGACAATAATTGAAGACAAAGAAAAATTATTGAAAGCAGCAAGGGAAAAATGACAAATAACATACAAGGGAACTCCCATAAGGTTAACAGCTGATTTCTCAGGAGAAACTCTACAAGCCAGAAGGGAGTGGAATGACATACTTAAAGTGATGAAAGGGAAGAATCTACAACCAAGATTACTCTACCCAGCAAGGATCTCATTCAGATTTGATGGAGAAGTCAAAAGCTTTACAGAAAAGCAAAGGCTAAGAGAATTCAGCACCACCAAACCAGCTCTACAACAAATGCTAAAGGAACTTCTCTAAGTGGGAAACACAAGAGAAGAAAAAGATCTATAAGAACAACCCAAAACAATTAAGAAAATGGTCATAGGAACATACATATCAATAATTACCTTAAACATGAATGGATTAACTGCTCCAACCAAAAGACACATGCTTGCTGAATGGATACAAAAAGAAGACCCATATATATGCTGTCTACAAGAGACCCACTTCAGACCTAGGGACACATACAGACTGAAAGTGAGGGGATAGAAAAAGATATTCCATGCAAATGGAAATCAAAAGAAAGCTCAAGTAGCAATACTCATAACAGTTAAAATAGACTTTAAAATATAGAACGTTACAAGAGACAAGGAATGACACTACATAATGATCAAGGGATTAATCCAAGAAGAAGATATAAAAAGTATAAATATGTATGCACACAACATAGGAGAGCCTCAATACATAAGGCAACTGCTAACAGCTATAAAAGAGGAAATCGACTTTAACACCTCACTTACACCAATGAACAGATCATCCAAAATGAAAATAAATAAGGAAACAGAAGCTTTAAATGACACAACAGACCAGATAGATTTAATTGATATTTATTGGACGTTCCATCCAAAAACAGCAGATTACACTTTCTTCTCAACTGCACACGGAACATTCTCCAGGATAGATCACATCTTGTGTCACACATCAAGCCTCAGTAAATTTAAGAAAATTGAAATCATATCAAGTATCTTTTCTGACCACAACGCTATGAGATTAGAAATGAATTACAGGGAAAAAAACGTAAAAAAAACAAATACATGGAGGCTAAACAATACGTTACTAAATAACCAAGAGATCACTGAAGAAATCAAAAATACCTAGAGAGAAATGTCAATGAAAACACAGCAATCCAAAACCTATGGCATGCAGCAAAAGCAGTTCTAAGAGAGAAGTTTATAGCAATACAAGCCTACCTCAAGAAACAAGAAAAATCTCAAGTAAACAATCTAACCTTACACCTACAGGAACTAGAGAAAGAAGAACAAACAAAACTCAAAGTTAAATAAAGACGCAGATCTCCTAGAGAACGGACTTGAGGTTATGGGGAGGGGGAAGGGTGAGCTGTGACAGGGCGAGAGAGAGTCATGGACATATACACACTAACAAATGTAGTAAGGTAGATAGCTAGTTGGAAGCAGCCGCATGGCACAGGGAGATTGGCTTGGTGCTTTGTGACAGCCTGGAGGGGTGGGATAGGGAGGGTGGGAGGGAGGGAGACTCAAGAGGGAAGAGATATGGGAACATATGTATATGTATAACTGATTCACTTTGTTATAAAGCAGAAACTAACACACCATTGTAAAGCAATTATACCCCAATAAAGATGTTAAAAAAAAAAACTCAAAGTTAGCAGAAGGAAATAAATCATAAAGATCAGAGCAGAAATAAATGAAGTAGAAACAAAGAAAACAATAGCAAAGATCAATAAAACTAAAAGCTAGTTCTTTGAAGAGATACACAAAATTGATAAACCATTATCCAGACTCATCAAGAAAAAGAGGGAGAGGACTCAAATGAATAAAATTAGAAATGAAAAAGGAGAAGTTACAACAGACACCCCAGAAATACAAAGCATCCTAAGAGACTACTTACAAGCAACTGTATGCCAATAAATGGACAGCCTGGAAGAAATTCTTAGAAAGGTATAACCTTCCAAGACTGAACCTGGAAGAAAAAGAAAATATGAACAGACGAATCACAAGTAGTGAAGTTGAGACTGTGATTAAAAATCTTCCAGCAAACAAAAGTCCAGGATCAGATGGCTTCACAGGTGAATTCTATCAAACATTTAGAGAAGAGCTAACACCCATCCTTCTCAAACTCTTCCAGAAAAGTGCAGAGGAAGGAACACTCCCAAACTCATTTTAAGAGGCCACCATTACCCTGATACCAACACCAGAGAAAGATAACAGAAAAAAAGAAAATTACAAACCAATATGACTGATGAATATAGATACAAAAATCCTCAACAAAATACTAGCAAACAGAATCCAACAACACATTAAAAGGATCATACACCATGATCAAGTGGGATTTATCCCAGGGATGTAAGGATTCTTCAATATATGCAAATCAATCAGTGTGATACACCATATTAACAAATTGAAGAATAAAAACTATATGATCATCTCAATAGATGCAGAAAAAGCTTTTGACAAAAATCAACACCCATTTATGATAAAAACTCTCCAGAAAGTGGGCATAGAGGGAACCTACCTAAACATAATAAAGGCCATATACGACAAACCCACAGCAAACATCATTCTCAATGGTGAAAACCTGAAAGCATTTCCTCTAAGAGCAGGAACGAAACAAGGATGTCCACTCTCACCACTATTATTCAACATAGTTTTGGAAGTCCTAGCCACGGCAATCAGAGAAGAAAAACAAATAAAAGGAATACAAATTGGAAAAGAAGAAGTAAAACTGTCACTGCTTGCAGATGACATGATACTATACATAGAGAATCCTAAAAATGCCACCAGAAAAGTAATAGAGCTAAAGAATGAATTTGGTATATTTGCAGGATACAAAATCAATGCACAGAAATCTCTTGCATTCCTATACACTAATGATGAAAAATCTGAGAGAGAAATTATGGAAACACTCCCATTTACCATTGCAACAAAAATAATAAAATACCTAGGTATAAACCTACCTAGGGAAACAAAAGATCTGTATGCAGAAAACTATAAGACAGTGCTGAAAGAAATTAAAGATGATACCAACAGATGGAGAGATATACCATGTTCTTGGATTGGAAGATTCAATATTGTGAAAATGAATATACTACCCAAAGCAATTTACAGATTCAATGCAATCCCTATCCAATTACCAATGACATTTTTTACGGAACTAGAGCAAATCATCTGAAAATTTGTATGGAGAAACAAAAGACCCCGAATAGCCAAAGCAGTCTGAGGGAAAAAAACAGAGCTGGAGAAATCAGACTCCCTGACTTCAGACTATACTACAAAGCTACAGTAATCTAGACAATATGGTACTGGCACAAAAACAGAAACATAGATCAATGGAACAAGATAGAAAGCCCAGAGATAAACCCACACACCTATGGTCAACTAATCTATGACAAAGGAGGCAAAGATATACAATGGAGAAAAGAGAGTCTCTTCAATAAGTGGTGCTGGGAAAACTGGACAGCTACATGTAAAAGAATGAAATTAGAACACTCCCTAACACCATACACAAAAATAAATTCAAAATGGATTCATGACCTAAATGTAAGACTGGACACTATAAAACTCTTAGAGGAAAACATAGGAAGAACACTCTTTGACATAAATCACAGCAAGATCTTTTTTTATCCACCTCCTAGAGTAATGGAAATAAAAGCAAAAATAAACAAATGGGACCTAATGAACCTTCAAAGCTTTTGCACAGCAAAGGAAACCATAGACAAGACGAATAGACAACCCTCAGAATGGGAGAAAATATTTGCAAACGAATCAACGGACAAAGGATTAATCTCCAAAATATATAAACAGCTCATGCAGCTCAATATTAAAGAAGCAAACAGCCCAATCCAAAAATGGGCAGAAGACCTAAATAGATATTTCTCCAAAGAAGACATACAGATGGCCAAGAAGCACATGAAAAGCTGCTCAACATCACTAATTATTAGAGAAATGCAAATCAAAACTACAATGAGGTATCACCTCACACCAGTTAGAATGGGCATCATCAGAAAATCTACAAACAACAAATGCTGGAGAGGGTGTGGAGAAAAGGGAACCCTCTTGCACTGTTGGTGGGAATGTAAATTGATACAGCCACTATGGAGAACAGTATGGAGGTTCCTTAAAAACCTAAAAATAGAATTAGCATATGACCCAGCAATCCCACTCCTGGGCATATACCCAGAGAAAACCATAATTCAAAAAGACACATGCACCCCAGTGTTCATTGCAGCACTATTTATAATAGCCAGGTCATGGAAGCAACCTAAATGTCCATTGACGGACGAATGGATGAAGAAGATATGGTACGTATATACAATGGAATATTACTCAGCCATAAAAAGGAACGAAATTGAGTCATTTGTTGAGACATGGATGGATCTAGAGACTGTCATACAGAGTGAAATAAGTCAGAAGGAGAAAAACAAATATCATATATTAACACATGTATGTGGAACCTAAAAAAATGGTACAGATGAACCAGTTTGCAGGGCAGAATTTGAGACACAAATGTAGAGAAAAAACGTATGGACACCAAGTGGGGAAAACTGTGGTGGGGTGGGGATGGTGGTGTACTGAATTAGGCGATTGGGATTGACATGTGTACACTGATGTGTATAAAACTGATGACTAATTAGAACCTGCAGTATAAACAAACAAACAAAAAACAACTAATACTGAACTCTCATTGGGTTATTTGTATTGAAATATGTTAATGTAAATGTTTCAGACATTACATGAAATTTCTATAAATCTTATATGTTCTGGTATAATGTTGTAAGTCATAATTATAGTTATTTTTTAAAAATATGTATCTCAGAAATAACCAAAAAAAAAAAAAAAAAAAGACAGGAGTGTTTACGTCAAAAAGATCAGTTTCATTTACTCATATTCTTATGATTCCAGACTTGTCATTATCTTGCCTAATAAGAAGGATGGAAAAAATCTATGTGTGTATATATATATTATATACATATATGTATATATGTATACATATATATGTGTATTGTGTGTGTGTTTTCCAATTTTTTTATTTCATATTTTAATATTTATGCATACCTTGAAGATACTGTGGATTTGGTTCCAGACTACCACAGTAAAGCAAATATCATACTAAAACAAGTCCCAAGAATTTTTTGGTCTCCTAGTGCATACAAAAGTTATGCTTACACTATACTATAGTCTATTAAGTATGCAATAGTGTTGTGTCTAAAAATAATGTACGTACCTTAATTAAAGATACTTTCTTGGTAAGAAATTCTGTTATCTGAGGCCTTCAGTGAGTTGTAATCTTTTTGTAATAGTAACATCAAAGATCACTGATCACAGATCACCATAACAAATACAATAATAATGGTAAAGTTTGAAATATTGCAATAATCACCAGAATGTGACACAGAAACCTGAAGTGAACAAATACTGTTGGATAAAATGACACCAATAGACTTGCCTGATGCAGGGTTGCCACAGACCTTCAATTTGTAGACAAATGAAGTGATCGACAAGGGATTAATCTCCAAAATATATAAAGAGCTCATGCAGCTCAATATTTAAAAAACAAACAACCCAATCAAAAAAATGGGCAGAAGACCTAAATAGACATTTCTCCAAAGAAGACATACAGATGGCCAAGAAGCACATGAGAAGCTGCTCAACATCACTAATTATTAGAGAAATGCAAATCAAAAGTACAGTGAGGTATCACCTCACACCAGTAAGAATGGGCATCATCAGAAAACCTACAAACAACAAATGCTGGAGAGGGTGTGGAGAAAAGGGAACCCTCTTGCACTGTTGGTGGGAATGTAAATTGATACAGCCACTATGGAGAACAGTATGGAGGTTCCTTAGAAAACTAAAAATAGAATTAGCATATGACCCAGCAATCCTACTCCTGGGCATATACCCAGAGAAAACCATAATTCAAAAAGACACCTGCACCCCAATGTTCATTGTAGCACTATTTACAATAGCCAGGTCATGGAAGCAACCTAAATGCCCATCGAGAGACGAATGGATAAAGAAGATGTGGTACATATATACAATGGAATATTACTCAGCCATAAAAAGGAATGAAATTGGGTCATTTTTAGAGACGTGGATGGGCGTAGAGACTCATACAGAGTGAAGTAAATCAGAAAGAGAAAAACAAATATCGTATATTAATGCATATATGTGGAATCTAGAAAAATGGTACAGAAGAACTGGTTTGAAAGGCAGAAATAGAGACACGGATGTAGAGAGCAAACGTATGGACACCAAGGAGGGAAAGTGGAGGAGTGGTGGTGAGATGAATTGGGAGATGGGGATTGACATATATACACTAATATGTATAAAATAGATAACTAATAAGAATCTGCTGTATAAAAAATAAAATAAAATTCAGAAATTAAATAAAAAAGAAAAACTATCTTTGAAGTACAATAAAGCAAAGTGCAATACAATGAGGTATGCCTGTATATGTTATTTTATACATATTACTTTTGCTTGAATTCCAAACAAAAATTATTTCCACTGATTTCCCCATTGCTCTTTTTCTGCTCCATAAACCTCAAAAGCAGAAGCAGTTAGAGTATCCTAATAACTAGGGTACTCAAAAAAAAAAAATCAGGGCCCTTTAATTGTTCAATTCCAGCAGTGCCATTAACATCATAGGTTATCCAGTGTATTCCTGTCTAACTCCTTCCATCCAAGAGCAAAACAAATGGCAATTTTAAAACCACAGTCTGAATTACTTGTGCTTTTTTCTTAGGTGGAAGTATCACCTTTATAGCCAAAGTCAAGGCCGAAGATCTTCTTAGAAAGCCCACTATCAAATGGTTCAAAGGGAAATGGATGGACCTGGCCAGCAAAGCTGGGAAGCACCTCCAGCTGAAGGAAACCTTCGAAAGGCACAGTCGGGTATGACCCTGACCTCCTGCCGCAGGGGCTCAGCCAGCTCATTCCTCTGTGTGCGTAAAAGGTCATTTTCGGTTCATCTTTGAGAGACTTCAGTCCCAGAACGTCTGCTGGAGTTCCCATTCCTAGTGTTTACACTCTAATGCGTTGCCCTGCTGTCCCCAGGGGCTTCAGAGCATTGCCTTGACCCCTCCCATACTGAGAACATTGTACCGGAATCCCCAGATACAGACACGTCTTTAAGCCAATGCTGAGGAACTGGGAAAATCGCTGCAATGTGATGGCCTCTTTCTGTCGGCAAGGTAGGGCTGAAATATGTCCGGATACATTTCATTGCAGGTGTACACGTTTGAGATGCAGATCATCCAGGCTAAAGAGAACTATGCCGGAAACTACAGATGCGAGGTCACCTATAAGGATAAGTTTGACAGCTGTTCCTTCGATCTTGAAGTACATGGTAAGATAGACTTCTAGTCTGGATAAGTTTAATTTTTTTATGTTTATGAGGTATGAGAGGATAGAGGAGAATAAGGCCATTTATTAGTATGAGATTTTGGAAATAAAATTTCCTTTAAAACTGTGTGTGTTTCTGATTGTGGTAGTCTCAGCAAGCCTGCTGAATTAAATTGTTATGAGACAATTTACAAACAGAATTTGGAGGAATGTATTGTAAATGTCCCTTATCCATGCTATCCATGCTATTTAATCTCTCAGATAAGGGCCAATGACTTTTTTTGCTGCTACTGAATGTACCTGTTTCGTTTGGTCCTCTTATTCCCACTCAGGTTTGGGATAAGTTAATATGGGATGAAGATGCCAGGGTACCCAGGTAGAAGGGAGGATTCCTCTCATAAGGACTGATGTCAGATATGGAAGTTCTTCATCTATATGTTCTGTGTACTGCCAAGAGTGAATTTAATAGGAATAATTAAAGCTATATATGTACATAGGGGAAAAGACAATACTTCGATAAGTATACACAGGGAAAGTTGACTTGGCAGCAAACATCATAAACTTAAAATGAATCCAAAGTGTGATGTAGCTACAAAAGACAAAGCTGAGGTAATTTAAAACCAGAGCGTTACAAGTGTTATAGGATCTAGGTTTAGGAAGCGATACCACTCTCTGTAACACGCTACTTGTTCCACATTTGAAGTAATGCCTCTGGCCATGGGTACCATACCTCCACTGGGATCCCTCCTGGAGTAGGGTAACTGGGAGATTGAAGAATCCAGGAACTATGCCCCCATTCAGCTTGAATGTGTAGATGAAGGAGGCCAGGCATCTATGACCCATTGTAAATAGCGGAAGGGCTGTCACACAGAAGGAAAAGGCCATTATCCATGTCCTTGAGAAGTGTTTAGGCAGATTAGAATCAAAAGGTGGAAATTAAGAGAAGGTGAATTTTGTCTTCACATTAGCACAAGCTCTTTCCTTAAAGCTATAGAGAGGCACAACAGAAGGTTGTGAGGGTCCCAGTCTGAGAGTTGTCAAGCAGAGGCTGGGTGACCATGGGTGGTGGTGCTGTCGAGATTTCTGTAAGTGGGAATTTGGTCCTGACCACTGCTTCTTCAACCTGGCCAGGCATCTCTGAGAATCACCTGAGGGGCGTTTTCAGAATATTGATTTCTGGGAGCCCATCCCTGATCTGGTGAATCAAGATCTCCAGCAGGGAGATCAAGAAGCTGACATTTTTTAAGCTCCTTAGGTGACTCTAATGGGCATACAGGTGGAATGACAACTGGATACGGTAACTCCTAAAGTCCTTTCATTGATTCTGTGTGAGGGGGGATGAGGTGTGATGCCTCCGCAGCTCAGCCATTGGGAGGAGAACCATCCCCCCTTCATCTGGCCTTCCTTCCATCTGAAGAATCCCCACAGCCTGGAAAGGAACTGAACACAAAACTGCCTTCTTAACGGGTATTTATTTTATTGTTTTCTTTCCTTTCAAAGAATCTACTGGGACTACTCCAAACATTGACATCAGATCTGCTTTCAAGAGAAGGTAACTTCAAAAGGGTAATCTAGGTAGCTTTTGTATAACATGAAAGTGGAAGACTTTCAAAACACACTCTCCCTTCCTCCACACTCGATATTCCAAGTGAGATCAACTCTTTCCACGGAAGTCAAACATGCTAAATATTCAAAAGTTAGTGTTCAAGAGAAGCTGTGGGTTTAATGTGCCAACTCGTGTATATGCTGATCATGTTTTAGAATATTCTTGTTATAGGAAGCTCCCATTGTACGGGTCTATGAGGCTTCTTCCTTCATTGCATTATTTTCTACCAAATGGCCCACAAAAATATATAACAATACACATCTCATAGAGCATCAATTAAGTGATATCAGAAAACTTACATTGCCTTTTATCTAGAAATCACGTATGGAGCAATTAAACCATGTGCCCAGAAAACTGCAATTAAGTAGCTACTTACTGAAGTTAGCACTATTTAAATGTGGAATTATCCTAAATGAAAGACCACTGAGTCTGCTGGAATAAAGAACATTGTAGAAAGGCAAAATACAGATACTTACTTGACTTATTTTGCAGCTGCCAAGGCTGAAAAATCAGGGGGTCAAAGAAGAAAAATGAAAAGAATTTTCTAGCCTATGAGAAATGTGACTAGCCTTTTCCTGCCATTATTTTACGCTCTGTACTTAATTCTTCCAAAATACAGATTCATTCATGAGAGCAAATGTTTTGTTCTTAAGACTGAATCCATGTAACAGTGTTGTTGAATAAGGAAAGTCATCTGAAACTAGCATAAAACAATGATCTAGTCTGTTAATAAAAGTCATAGTTCCCTCCTAAATTATGAACAAATGAAAATTGTAATTACTTTTAAAAGATATTTAATACTTCCTGATCAGTCAATTGTATTTTTTTTTTTTCGCGGTACGCGGGCCTCTCACTGTTGTGGCCTCTCCCGTTGC